GGGGGGGTCGAGGAGCGGGAGGGGGGGTGGATTTGAGATCTGGACCCGCGGGATGGGAATGAACTGTCACATGACACACCCCCACGCGCCAACCCTTCGCTGCGCTTACTCCACGTCCGGCTCGTTTTTACATGACTTCGAAGTATGTCCACAGCGTGAACGTGACAATCACATGCGCTGATTTAAGTCCGAATAATTGGTGCTAAATTTATGGACGTGTTCCATCATCGTACGATTTCGTTGGACGTGATTCCTGGGGACGTGTCGGTCCCTACCCGCGTTAAATTTGCAAGTGGCGTTACATCATTTAAGTTGTCTTAAAGATATAGCTCTGATTGGCTCGTAAATACCGCGTTATGCAAACTACAAGCCGTGTAATAACGGTTGGCTATACCGAGAAATGGAAAAAGACTCAAGTCGAGGGGGAAACGACTGTTAAACTTTGTGTCAGCCGGATTACGGATTACCCGGATTACCTCCGGGAGTGTCCTCCGGATTACGTTGCTTTTTCTCTAGGATTACCCCGGATTACCCCAAAATTTTCCCGGATCACCCCAAAATTTCCCCGGATTACCCCGGATTTTTTAGAATTTTCTCGGATTACCCCTGCCGGATTACCTAACGGCTGTCAGCCGGATTACCTTAAGTCGTTTCCCCCTCGACTGAAGTACAGTAGCCTTCCACTCAGGGCACCGGAATTGCAACGGTGATGGCGCCGCGACCGTCCAGTCCACACCTTCCCCCTCAGTCCCCCTGCCCTCCCCACTCTTTCACTCCTTTCCCAAACAAGGAGGTGGGGCCACAGAGCGACGATACTTCCCGTCAAGCTATTGTCGTAGCAGTTGCCTGCCTGCTTGAGCATCGACATGAATATGCATGCATGGCACTTTTCAAAAGTTTTAATTTGACAACAAAAAAATGTTACACTACAAAGTTACCATTAAGGTTTTTTTGGTGTGTGTGTTTTTAAAGTCACGTAAATCATAACCGAGACGTGGAGAGAACGGGTAAAAGATTTATTAACCCAAATGTCGAGGCCAGGCGAGGCTCCGTGAGCGTAAACTGGGCAAGGTGGACAGGCGACCAGCAATGCGATGGGATTGGGATGGCATGTCCCCCCCCCCCCCCCCCGGCATCGTCCTCGCCTCACTCTTCTTGGCCTCACCCTACCTCCCGAGGCAGTAAGGTACCTCCGCTTTGAGGGTGTAGTACTAACTGCGGTAATTGTCGTTAAAAAAATCATACAGAATAAAGTTACGTTTTCATCTGTTTTAAGATGGAAGACCTTTGTTCAAGGATTGAACAATACATCACCCAAATAAGGGGTTGAGGATTTACCGTAAGTGCTAAGGTGTCTAGGAGTGGCCCAAAAGATTACCCTGAAAATCGCGAGTAGTCTTCATCGAAACTCCTTACACTTTCAGTTGAACAGACAGAGGCGTCAAGCAGACACCAGCTCGGCCTAATTTTTATTATTCTTCCAGAACGACCGGTCAAAGGCCTGAAAATAGAAAGAGGACACGCACAAGAAATGGAAGCTTCCCTTTGAATATGTGTCATACTTGTCTGTCGAGCTTTCTGTGAATTTTTGAAGACCTCATATTCGGGCCGCACGCGCCTCTTAGAAAGAGGAAGCTCCACGGGTCAGCTTCCCGCCGCATGTAAATTGGCGAACGGCGGTTGGGCGGGGCGGCGCCGCGAGATCGAGATCAGCCGGCCGTGCAACCGCCCCGCCGGGTGGCGGGTACCACTGGGCCACGGGGGCGCCATGGGGCACCACCGGGGGTCGTCCGGATCGAACCAGACCCAGCAGCCCGCGCCCGGCCCGGACCAGCCCGCCGTACATGGAGCTCAGCCCTGTACAGCCGCTAAGCCTGGGCCTTCCCCCCGCGCCCCGCTGCTACTGCCCCACCGGGAGCAGAAAGCTGGAGAGCTGGTCTTCCCTCTGCGACAGCGCCGTTTTGCCCGCGCCCAGGTCCAGAACCATCGTCATCGTTCTTGACCAGTTTCATCTCACTTTCCCCTCATCCTAACCGTCCTAACCTCTCTCTCACTTTTCTGCCACATTTTCCTCCTAGGACGATTCAAATTCGAAGTTACTCCTCGGGGAGTGACGCAAGTGTAAGTCGTTCAATTAGAGTCGTTTTTGTAGCAGTTTCGGTTGCACATATACAATTCTTCTGAGTGATTTTCGTGAACCCTGTTCTATTAGAGCGATGAAGACATACGGCCACTGATGTGTGGTTCATTACGGGCTTATTAATAACCCCCCTGCTCTCTCCCTTTCGAACCAAACAGGCACTGCCCCAGCAGGAGCGGTAGGGCATAAGTCGCGCTGGACAGCAGCGTCGAGCCAGACGAGGTCAAGGCCTCAGGACGAGGAGAGCGAGAGAGAGAGGAAGAGAGGGGGCTAGAGGGGGGGGGGAGTGGGTGATTGTGAGTGCATCATGAGCAAACAGACGGCGCCCTTCCATCCCCCCTCGAACACAGGTACTGTACACCGCCCGCTGCTGACAAAGCGCACCGGCCCACTACCGTGAGTGAAGCTCCCAAAAAACATAGAGGAGCATAAAATTTGGGTCGCCCTCGAAGGTCGCCGCTGCATCCCGGATCTTTCGGGTTCGTGGTGCGTGCGAGAGCGCCGGCGGCGGCGGCGGGGCGGGAAGTCGCGGATGAGTGCGGGTGGGCGGGCGCGGGCGCGTGGTGTTCCGGAAACACTCCTTGTCTCGCCTGTTTTAGGCAGTCCGCTCGGATGTGACGTTCGGGCTGCTGCTGCTACCGCGCCCCCGCGCCCCCCGGGGGCCGAACCATGTGCCACGCGCATTCAGAAGCGTCATCAAACGACGGCATTTCGCAGCGGAGATAACCAGTTCTTCTCTGCTTCGCCAACCATAGATCGGAATGGTCCTGTTGCACACTACGTCATATGGTTCTGCCGTTCTGCTGCACAACCGAGTGTACAGCAACAAGTTGCGATATCGGGGGAGGAGGGAGGGGGGAGGTCGTTTTGGAGTGCAGGAGTCGAGAGGTGCGGCTCCAGCCAGGCCCAGGTGCATGGGCGGGAAGTGGGGGGGGGGTACATCTCCGTTCCTCCGTTAGTATCTTGGACAGACACTCTGCCATACTGGGTTGATGTTGATAAGGGTAAGCCCGGTCTGTATACATATAGGCGACATATTTCTGTGCAGGGAAAACTATAGTATCAATATCACACTCGACAAATCAAAAGCAAAACGTCGAGAAAATTCAAAGAAATTCAACATTGTGTGAAGAGTCCTCTCTGAAAGTCCCAATCCTTCTTTCCGCGTCTCGCCTGCCCTTTCACACTTTCATTGTCCTCGCTCCTCACTCCCTCAGAGTCTCTCGGGTGACCGACGCATTCCCCCGAGGGGCGCCTTTCAGGCCACAAATCGACCAAAACCGGCAAAAAAGCTGAACGTTATCTGTGACAATTTTGCAGGGGAAACCAAACGAAACGGAAAGCTTTACGCAACTCATAGGACCGTCAACGGCAGCAGCGCGGGTGCGGTCCGGGTAGATAGCCCCCCCCCCCCGCGTGTACGACGGACAGCGGGAGTGGCGATACCCCCCTGCACACCACCCCGTGCGAGTACGGTCAGAGGCCGACCAAGCGCGAAAAGCTCGCCGCAGGTTCATCTCGCAAAAATAATGAAAATGGCTACTATAAAATAGAAATCTGATGTGTCACATGCAGATATATAGGAGGGCCGATCCAAGAGAAGATTCCCCTAGCCAGGCTGGTCCAAGCAGCAATCTCAGCCAAAATGTGGTGCACCCCCTCCTCCCCCCCTCCCCACCCTCCCCCCCCTGCGGACGAGCGATAAACCTCGCGCCTGCCCTTATCGCCACGACGACGACGGCAAGGGGAACTGAAAGTTGATTGAAACATTAAAGCGGGGCGTGCTGCGATGCCAACGAGCCGTGAACTTGGCGGCCCCCGCAACCCCCGCAACCCCCGCGCACCACCATCGGGTATTTCGCTGACCCCTGTGATCGAAGCAATCGAAACTGGTTGTCAGGTTGTCGATGTATTCGAGGAAAGTGACAAAGCGGAAAAGCAGGAAAGATGCTTTGATACCAATGATGAGGACACGGCGTTTCGTTTCATAAAATATGGAAGGCATAACTAGAAATCGGAGGTATATAAATGTCGTACGTGCAGATTTCTCATGTACACGTGCGTGGTTTCTTCCCGGTTTGCCACTTTTACATCGTCTTTCCGTTGTTTCTGGCTTCAGCGTTCAGCGAAATACCCCCATGATACGGGTACATGTGTGTTAGCCCGAAAGAAAACCCCGCCAACCTAAAACAATTGACCCCCCCCCCCCCTCCCCTAGATCGCTGAGACTGCCCTATCAGTTCGCACTTTCGCCGGAATGAGATTCACGATAACGAGACGGCGCGAACGCGACGGTTTTCGTCTCGGCCCCTCTGCCTCTGGTCGACGCGAGTCCTCCCCCCCCCCCCCCCCACATGACCCGGCACACCCACCTCTGACGAACGACTGCTGCTTCGGTATCCGCTGTTGTTCCTTCCGACTGCTTCTCCTGCTTCTCCTGCCTTGCTTCCGAAGAAGCGGCGTTTTCTCTCCGTCCTCGCCGCGACGTGGGCCGGGCATTTTCCGACCTCTTCCAGTTTTTTTTTTTCTTTCCCTCCCGTAACTTACGGAACCCGAGCGGCACAAAGAGAAGCGGGCCGACGAACCTCGCGCGCGCCGATCAGCTGATGCGTCGTCTGCTGCTGCACGTCTGTCTGGCCGCTGCCGGGACCGGTCTGCGCGGCAGTCGGGAGGCGAGGCGCGGCTGGCGATGGCGAGCGGCGAGAAAGAACGCTCGGAAATCTGGAGGAAAACTACCGCAAACAACGTGAAAGGAGAAAGCACCCGCTTATCCCCATTGTCCCGAATCGCGGCGAGGAAAACATGGCGACTCTGTGCCGTCTTCGCGCTTTGTGTGGACAGCGCGTGTCCCCCATGTTCCCCGTCTCTTTCAAACTTGCGACCTCGCCGGGCGCGGGGCCATGGAGGTTGGTCGGGGAGTTGCCGGTTTTTTTTTTCAACTTTCGGTCGCGCAACTTGCTCGACTGTACAGGTACGACACTGGCGCTCTCAAAAAAGTATAAATAGAGAAAGTTACTATATTTTAGAGGGTATTTCGGTACTGAACTTGATCCAAAAAGGAACAGCAATACTCTCTGAACTAAACTCCCTCGTTCTGCAAAAATAACACGGGGCAGAATATGATGCAAAGCGCAAGTTGCGTGCGCGCAGTGCGAACTGTACGTTTTTGCTGCGGCGTCAGCCTCCTATGTCCGAGCGCCGCGGCGGTAGGCAACCACTCGAGCATCATTGCTAGAGGTGCTGCCGCCGGACCAGGGGACGGGTCTTCCCAGCCCTCCCACGCTCTCCACGCATGCGTCGACAGTGATACCAGCATTTCTCTCAAACAGTCCCCAAGGACAATGAATCCGGCAGAGACAGCAACTCTTGAAACGGATTTTATCTGCTGCTGGTGTCGTTTTAGAAAACCAACCGCCCACCTCTTTTCTGATTCCGGTGCCTAGTTTTCCGAACTGGTTGTCCGCAGAAAGTTACGGCTACAACTGTCAAACTTGCGCACGTTGGTGGAACTGAGAATCAGCTGAGAAGCCGCTGCATCTCCCCCACCCTCACCAAGATCACCCCCACCTGGCTTAAGCCTGACACTTCCCCTCCCATTCTATCTTCCGTGATTTTACGTGCGAACAGGTTCAAACTTGTCGAGAAGAACCTATGTCCATTGGGGGTACCTTTGTGTCTGGAGAGGGGAGGGCGTGTGCAAAGTGCAGGAGCAAATGGGCGTTGGCTTCCAACTACACTCCGTAATTAATTGCATAGTTTCTTGCTTGGCGAGTGGATATTGCATCAAAGTGACAGTGGCCACGGGATACGGGGAGGTTAGTCTTTGTTTATGTTTTCGTTCTGTCAGATAAGGATGCTAGCGATCTAAGAACGCAGAATCTTAAGCGTGCTGGACTACTTAACCCCATTTGGTCTACTTGTTTGATTTGCACATACAAAATTTGGTCCACCATTTCATTATATATTTGCTTAAAAAGGGAAATGGGGAGGGCATAACCCGGCGGAGGACTGCCGGTATGAAGCCAATTTAAGACACTTAAGTTTCCTATCCTTTGCATTTTATGCACTAGTTTACTGAATTAGAGGTGTTTAGAATTTTCTGAAAGAGTAATCAGAAACAAGTCGTCCTCTCCAAAACCTATCTTAACTCCATGTTTCCAGCACCTTAACCATGGATCGCCTTAACCGGAACATGAGCTGCTTGAGTATACCATCAGATGTAAGTGAAGACCTCCAAAGCTGTTCACAAAGCAGTGGAAGCAGGTATGTTTCTGTTTCAAGCTTAAATGTTTTTTCCAAATGAACTTTCATAAACCATCCCGGTAAAGCTGAAATGCAGAAGAACACGGGAAAATATAAGTCACCATGTTGAAGCATAGTGATTTCCGTTTTGTTGTTCCCGGTATTATTCTTCTTTCCAGCTTTACGAGAATACTTTATTAATTATTCTTTGTTGCTGTTGTGGTGCTTTGGGCTATAGTGATAGCAGTTCTCGCAGTATTGTGTTCAAACGTAGTAATTCTGACAGCAGCGCAGTGTTACAACCTGTAAGTGAATTTTCAAAATGCTTTATTATTTACCACATTTTTTGTCTTTAAAACATAATGTTTTGGATTGGTGTAGGCATATTATTCAAAGTACAAGAATGAATTCATTGAGACAGGTAAAAGGGAGGAGGGCGGATTTGGCTGTGTTGAGCAGGTACTTAACCCAGTACTTCAGTTATTCTTAATTATCAGTCATTATGCAAAGCTGATGAGCACTGATCATGTCATTTGATATCACAGGTTATCAATAAAACAGATAAGATGCCCTATGCAATCAAACGCATACCGCTCAAATCTTCATCTGTAGAGGATGAAAAGAGTCAATGTCTTATTCAAGAGGCAAAATTCTTGGCATCCCTGGAACATAGAAATATAGTACGGTATTACGCTTCTTGGACAGAAAAATGGAACAATGAATATTCATCTAATGATGAGGTGAGTCACAGAAGACATAACTATTATCCAACTGTAACATGTTTAAAACCTTCTTCAATTTTCAGAATTCATCCCAAGACAAAACTGAGGATGATTCAGACAGTTGCTCCAGAGATAAAACTCAAAAGTAAGTTCAAAATTAAAATTAATAATAGGCAGTTTTGTTTGCTATACCTAACATCATGTAAGTCTCCTGCTATTGCCTAAAAATATTGTTTCAAACTTCCAGATTATGTTTTGATCGTTTGTATCTATTCATACAAATGGAATTTTGTACTAAAACTTTGAGGTATGTTCTTGTATTTGGATATGTGTTTTAAAGTCCTCTTTTTGTGATTGAATTGCTTGTCATTGTAACAATTTCAGAGAGGTAATTGAGTCTGCTGGTAGTGAAGTGAACCCCAGGGTTTTGGATAATCCTGAGCAAGTGGCTGCATATTTCTTCCAAATATTACAAGGATTAAAGTTTCTCCATGAGAAACACAATCTGTGTCATAGAGATCTGAACCCTAATAATATACTTCTTGATGCTGAGGGAAGAATTAAAATTGGAGACTTTGGCCTCGCGAGGTAAAATATGTTCTCAAAGTAGGATCTCTTAACATCACCTTTACTTAAAGATATGGATTGAATTTAACTCTGCACTTTCAGGTTGATTGAGAACTGTCCTGCCTTGGATGAGAGCCCTCTTTCAAGTGTGGGAACTGAATTGTACAGAGCTCCAGAAATACAATCTAAAAAATATGACCATGTAAGTTAAAATTCTGCACTGTGCTAATCTTTGAATTTCATAATCCTTAAAATTGAAACTGTACAGCCAAATCCTTCATATTTTTCATTTTTCACTGCAGCGTGTCGACCTGTATAGTTGTGGAGTTATTTTATTTGAAATGTCATACCACATGAAGACAGGCACGGAGCGTTTGAAAGTTCTAAAAAACATTAGAACACCTGACATTGTGTTTCCTGATGCCTTTTTGGAAAACACTGAGGACTGGCAGAAGGAAATTACTGAGTATGTGACCTCTTTGGCATGTGTTAAGGATGCACACATTTTTGATTTGTGCTAGCTAGTTAATGATATGTTCAAAATTTGTTGATAGGTACCTTTTGCAACATGATCCTGATGAAAGACCTACCTTAGATTACATTATATGTCGACTGTCAGATAACTATCCCCTGCAATGCTCCAATATAAAGGAAGAAATGACCCGAGCACTTTCAAACCCTGACAGCAATTCTTACAAGCAAGTTATGGATGAGTTCTTTTCCCAGGTAAATCTTTGTATACAATGTTAAATATCTATCTATACATTGCATTAGCATTAGTTAATAACTTTTGGAATGTCAATGTTACCCATTTAAATAGGGAAGCAAAAGGAGTGAATGTATGAGCTATGAGACACCCAAACCCAATCTCCATGAAGGTACTTCTTCCCGTTCCCTCATAGAATATATAGAGAGTGTATTTTGCAAGCATGGTGAGTTAGAAGTAGTTTTTATATTATCTTATTGTTGCCAATGTTGTTGCTGTCTTATGAGATAATATATATCTATTTTGTTACAGGTGCTTGTCATCTCCGGACACCATTACTCACTCCATGTGACCTGGATAGTAACAAATCTGAAACAGTTGTAAAATTAGTCACAAGTGATGGATTTGCAGTGAACCTTCCGCACAATGCTAGAGTAGATTTTTCTAGATACATTGTTTGGCATGAAATACCCCTTATCACTAGATATGACACTCTTCAGACCTATAAAAAAGAGTATTGTAGTAGCTCTCATCCAAGACCTGAATATGAGTGTGTTTTTGATCTTGTACACACCCTTTCCACCCATTCAGGTATTTCTGAGGTTTTCTATTTCGTGATTGTGTACAGATTGAGTATTCCTATGCTTAACTTTACATTTTCCTCTTTTAACAGATATAAAAGAGGCTGATGCACAAGTTCTCTCAGTATTAATTTCTCTTTTTAAGGGTATCATTCAGAAAGAAAATACCACCAACTTCATTGCTATTAGCCACAGAGATGTGGTCAAATTTATACTTCTCTCTGTAGGTGTCAAAGAGCAATATGTTTCAATCGCTCTTGAACAAGTGGGAAAAAATGGATTTGAGGTAAGTCTAGTTTATTTCATTAATATCAAGAAAAAACAAAGGGCGTTATTTATCTATTTTAAAATTGGTTTTAGGGTTTGAAATTGGACTCTAGTCAAATTATAGGAAGATGCTTAGATGAAGAAAAACTGTTTAGAATTTTAAGCTGGTCAGGCAAATTGGACGATATGAAACAGCTGCTTGATGAAATTCTGCCTAAGTATAAGGTTCAGACAGAGAAAACGATTAAATATCTGCATGATATTTGGCTTTACAACAGGGATGTTATATCAAATCCGGTAATTATTAATTCCTTTTTCCTATATTGAAACCTGTTCATTTATTGCTACTTACATGTAATGTATTAATCCATGTACATCAAATTGTTTCTTAGATGGAAAATGTGAGCATTAGCTTGAAGTGGTGCTGCAATGTTCACTATTATTCAGGGGTGCTTTTCACTGCAGTGCGTCTTGAAGACAAGAAAAAAGATATAATAATTGCTGACGGTGGACGTTATGATGACATATTGCACTCCTATAGGTAAAGTTGCCTTTCGTGCATTCCTGGAATGTTGGGCTCCCTAACCAAATTTTCACAACATTCCTCTTGGTTATCTTAATTAATATGTATGTTGTTTTCTTTCTCACTATTAATATGGAAATGTCTAAATGTTTCTGTTCTTAGAGCACTATTTGCAAGAAGGAAACTAGGTGTCGAAAGGACTGTACAGAATGGTTGTGGAATTTCGGTGTACATTACCAAGGTGCTCGAACTTCAGGCATCAGACTTTTGGCCACCGCAACTTGTTGTTCTTACATGCATTAAGAATAGAAATTTAGAGAAAACCTTGTATGAGTTGGCCAAGTGTTTGCGCCTGATGAGTCTAAACTGCAGGGTGGAGCACTATGCAGAGGTAGAGTGGGTTCTACTTGTTTATATTCTGGAGTTTCTTGAACTATTGGTCATACTTATTATTATTTTTCTCAGCCTTCTGCCATTGAAGCCTACAAAAAAGATGAAAACGTCTTGTGTGTCGTTGAACTTCTACCCTCAATGATGTTTAATTTAACACACAAGTTTACATCACTGCAGTATGTATTTTATTGGTGCTTCTAAAATTAGTATCTATCTATCTATAGGAGATTGTTCCAATTGTATTTACAACAAATTGATCTTGCAGGACACTGGAAGATGGAGGACAACACATATCCTTTGGTGTATTCTATAATGCTGATCCACCAACCTTGAAGTTGTCTAAATTCAGAGTTCTGAAATTGTTCCAAACAGATATGAATATGTTAAAAATGAATTCATTGTTAGTTAGTGCTCAAATGATATTGTAAAGCAACTGAATCTATTTCGGATCAGGTCCGAATTTGGATCAGTTGTATGTTACTTAGTGAGAGAGCTACGATCAACGCACCACCAAAGTACTTTTGTACCCTCGAAGAGGAGGCTTTTCTTAGTGTTGTGTTGAGACGTCCTTATTTTGAATCAAAATCACATCTTTCCTCTTTTTGACACAGCTCCTAAAATATTATCCTTGCTAAAACATGTAGAAAAGTTTCAAAAAAAAATAAAATGACAAAAAAAAAACAATAAGGAAGATGTGGGTCGTAAATGATCTACAAAACAATAGTTCTGCAACTTTCCTATAGAGATGCAGAAAATAAAATGTCAATTCTGACCCAGGTATGGTTTAAACTGATAATAAGCAAATACTTATCAGTTGCTTGGTTTGAGTTCCACTGATATTGATTCTAATATCTGTGTCATACTGTAATTTTATTTTTGTGAGAAACTAGTTATGAACATCACAGTTCCAATATCAATGTATTGTGTTTTTTTTTTTTGTTAAAATTTTAAATAGTCTTAATGGAGATGCAATAGCATTTTAACTTTCAAATCATTTTATCATTGTTTCTGTTAACTAAACTTTTAATTGCCATGTTGGTCTTTTATCAGAATTTTATAAAAGCTTTTGCCGGTTTCTTATGTGATCAAATTTTAGGTGCAGCAATTTAGTGAGTGCTGTGTCTTAACACACAAACTTTCTGAAACTGCAACTTAATATGACTAACCCATGTGTTCTGTCTGGGCATGGGTTCTACTCAAGACTTTCCGACTTCCTGTAACAATTTCTGTTCTCAATCATTTTTGGCTTACTTAATTTTGCTGTTTTCACACAGCATTTTAGTCTGTTTCTGTCCTTTTTCAAGTCTTAGATATGTTTTTGAAGTAATTTCCTATCCATGTGTCTATCATACAGAGAAATTAACTTTTTTATATCATGTTATTGTTTTTATTATGT